AGACTCGGCAGGAGCCGTACCGCAGGCACCATCAGACACCGGGGCTTCCGCGCGGCGTGTGCTCAGCTCGGGGAGCGCTGGCCGGTAGCACTACCTTCTTGTTATCTGCTGTTTCCTCTATGGGTTCAGCATTTATCGGTTATTATCATCAGCTTTTTTCCGCTGGAGGCTAAGGGAGTTTGGGTGGGGAGTCTGAAGGGCGCTCCTCTTTCTTGCTTCTTGATGCACCTGGAGCCATCTCAGGACGCAGAGCGCATCCCCACACGCCTTACACTGTGCTCGCCTACATCTTGCCCGTGCTGGATGTGTTTCTTCCGAAAGACCCCCAGCGCTGGCAAACACCAGCCGCCCCAGTTCCCCTCTCGGCAGCCCGCTCCACAGCTCACGGATACCGGCTCGAAGGCTCCTGCGGGGTTTTGGCCCGGTCCCAGGGGGCTCCTCAGTGCCAGGACGCTTCCTGCTGTCTGACAGGAACATTTGTTTCCCTTGTTTTCATTTTAGTCCTTATTCCATCCTTCTCTGACATCCTAATTAATTTGTCTCCACATCGGGGCTTTGATTTATTAATTTGTTTTTACACTTCTCAGATCTCTGCGGATACTCACCAGACCTCTTGCTCTCAACTAGCTTCTCTGACAAGCGCAGGAATATTTTGCCATGTTGTTTGTTAGCAGTCAGCCTGGATGTCTCCCCCATCCCAAATCCACGTGCTAGTCCTCCGTGCTCAGTAGCTTGCCGATTTGCCTGTCAGGTCCGTATGGATTTGCTTTCGCTGTGTCTCTGGAGGGCGAGCGTCAGGCCTGGGTTCCCTTTGGTAGCCCCCACAGCTGGAAGGAGCGAGCTCCCCGCCTCCATCATATTTGCAAGGGTTAAAAAAATCCACAATATCCAGAGAAAGGGCAGTTCTGCACAGCCTCAGTACTACTCCTTTACCTGTGTGTGAAACCTCTTCAACCTCTAGCGGGCTAGAAAAGCCCAGGGCACAAAGCCAATGCTTTGCTCATCCGCAGCAGCCTCAGCCTGTTTCTGCCGTGCAGGAGCCTAATGCAGAGTTCTTGAGGTAGGGAAGCACAGTGACATCCTTCTGTAGACTTTGCTGTCCAAACCCGGTGGTGTACAGCAGAGATCAGAGTCACTCCAACATCTCCGTCTGTCTCGCAGGGAGGAGAGCAGCTGTGCAGAGGATGAACAGGAAAAGCTGTGCCATGGCTGAAGGCGCAGCTCCATCCCGGCGGAGACACTTCCCTTTTGTTCCCCCTCGTGGTGATCATTCTGGACACCTACACGGCAGGCTGGCTGCTCACACCCACCCCACAAGGGCTATTTCACCCCACAGTGCGCACAAAAACCCGTGGAATACTTGGTTCCACTTGGCTACAGCTATCACCGTTACCATATCTCTTCCGAGAGCTGGAGGAGGAAGCCCTACCCTTGAAGGGCAGCAGGGCCTCATCCTGCCTCACTGGGATCCATCCCGGTACCTCCCCCTGCCCCAGGAAGGTGCATTCGAGCAGAGTACAGCCTTTTCCTGCACGTGCAGCAAGGGGGAATCAGGTTAGCAGCAAACACTGGCGGCTGGGGGCTTACTGGGGTAATTTCAGCTTGCTTAGCTTTACTTTAGCAACTTGAAAGTAGACACTCCTGAGCATCAGGTGCGTGATTCCGTCTGTCCGACCTCCCATCCTAATTTCATTTCTCTAAAGCAATTGATACTTAAAAAGCTTTTGCTCAGTGCTCTTAAGATTTTGTTGGCATAGAAATCAACTATTGCAGGAATTAATTGAGCAGTAAAATAATAGGAAATTTATTAACAGGTGAAATATTCGCAAGCAGTTTAATATCCTCATTATTAATTCAACATATAACCTCACGTAGATCCCTGCGGTGGAAGCTGTGCTGTTAGTGTATGGAAGAGCGCTATTTCTAAGGCTCGCCGTGAGGTTTAGTGCCTCCCCCATGCTTTATTGCATATCATTACAAGAAACACTTCAGACTGTTTGTTGTTAAAAAACACCAGGGTTTTCTTGCCTGCATGAACATCAAGTTTCAGGCTTGCTCGTAGATTTGCACACATTTGTGAGCCAAGGGGGGAGTAAAGGACAAAAGCAAACGGGAGATACCTTTGGTTGGCACGGCTGCCAAGCCTGCTGCATCCCTTTAAGACCTGGAGAGCATCTTATTTGGGCATCTCGCGCTCCTCACCTGAGTTGCGTGATGTGGCTTTCGCAGCCCGTGTCCGGCAGCAGCAAAGGCCGGGAACAGCGTCACCGTCAACAGGACAGAGCCCCGCAGGGTCAGAGCCCAGCGAGCAGAGCAGAGCCCAGCAATGGGGATCGGCAGCAGCTCCAGCAAGCTGTGAACCGGGTCCAGGGCCCATCCAGGGGGTCCCACCAGGAGGTGGGCTAGAAGCAAAGCCGTGACGTGGGTCCAGGATCTGCCTAGAAGATACAGCTAAAGACAGGATCAAAGTGACCTGCAGCACAGATTTAAAGTCCACAGCTCTCTGCGCCAGGAGAGAGAGCAGGAGCTGAAGGGCCAGCGCTGAGCTTAAATGGGACCCATGAGCAGAGGATGTGGGTCCCAGGTGAGGCTGATCAGGGCAATTAAAGCCTCATGGTTCCCTCTTGGCCCTGAGAGCCAGATCAGCCATGGGTGACCTAGCACATCATCTGCTTTTTCATTAGCCTGTCAGGAGGAGATGGCTGGTGGAAGGAACCAAAAGCGTTTTTATCTTGGTGACTGTGATTGCGTTCTAGACAAAGACCAAGTAAGCAGTGGGCTCTGAATCCCCGGATTCCCCAGCCACGCAGGAGGAAGGGCTGTTCCTAGGGGAACGCTGTTTCAGGTAGGTGCTTGCTCCTGAGCGCCAACAGCGCTCTGTGTTCAAACCCCTTCCTTCCCTCCTGGCCCGGGAGACCACGGCCACCCCATGGGGCAGAGCAGAGCAGAGCAGAGCTGGGAGCATCGGGCTGCCGGTGCCTTCTCGCTCAGTTGTGAGCCTGGAAGGAGAAAAGGTAATTCCTGCTAACCAGAATGAGCTCCCCAGCGCCGTGTCCTGCTCTTTCCCCTTCCCTTCTCGAAAGCCCAGGGTACCTCTGACGGACTGCTCTTCCACCCACTCCTCGCTTTTCTGCCGTGCTCTCAGCTGGAGCGTAAGGACCTCCGTAAGTACGTGCCAGTAGCAATGCTGGGGCTGGGGGGCTGTAAAGGCTTCATGGCCAGCCTGAGTGCGGTTCATGATCCGCAGAAAAACGTGCAGCACAGCTGGAAACCTCTGCTGCGTAAAGCACAATGTCCTTATTGCAAACCTGCCGGCCCCCCTCCTGCTTCTGCGCCTGTATGTGTTGTTCAACGCTCGTTAACGTTACAACAGCCTTTGAAAACGCAGCGCTGTCTGCAAAGTCCTGCAATTGCATCCGTTCACAGTTTATGACCCCTTTTCTCCCCTGTATGCTGCATTCTGTGAGTTAGCAAGAAGGAGGGCTAACGAGACTCCTCGCCTTCTCGGAAAGCTCTACCCTCGATTTTCTCTTCTGCAGTTTCAATGAATTTGCAGTCTCGTGGTGTATTTACCGAGTGCCCTGTTGTTAACGTGACAGGGCTGGCCAGTACAGCAAACAAGACGCTCGCTGTGGTGCCGTGTAGTAGTGTAACGCTTCCCACGGCAGTAATTGGATGCGTGCTGTGCCCCTCAGCCTCGACGGAAATAACCTTCCCGAGCTCTTCTCTATCATCATTTCATCATCTTTGTGCTTGTTCATTGTGTTCTGGTAGCAACCAGAACCCCTCGCCATGAACCACGCTGTTCTACAAGGCGCTGGACGCACCGCATGAAAAAACTCTTTATACTCTGAAATGCTCAAAACACAAAATCAAAGTACAGCGATTCTTTTCCTTCCTCAGACGGTACCGTTAGGCGATGCTGCTAACAAACCCTTTCTGTATGGCAGAGAGAAAGCAATTAGGCTCGTGAAGGGCTTATTTCATTAGGAGCTTTATTAATTTGTGTCACAGATATAAGCACGGGACCTTTGCCAGAAGTGATGGAGTGTTGGTTTTCTTAATGGGTAATAAAGCAATAAGTGCTGAAATGCATTAGTGCCTTAGTCTGGGGTGAGTGGCCAGGGAGTCATGAGAATGCTTGAGCGGCAAGTGTCTCGGTAAAACATCAGCAGGGGCTGGCTGTGTTGACACCAGGCGTTTCAAGATTTGGGGTTGAGCTGTGATACTGATGCATTAGGTGATTCTGGTGCCGTTGCTGCGGTTGCAGTAACAGGAGCGTGCTGTTACGCTGACAGATGGGGGATGCAGAGCTGGCTGCGAGCAGCGTGAATAGGGATGTTGATGGGGGGAGCTTACGGGTTCAGAGGGTTTTGTTCTGGAGCTGTTTGCCCAAATAGAGGTCTTGGGCATCCTCACTCATCTTCTTCCGACCAGGCTGAGCGGATCTGGGTGGGAGAAGCAGCTGCTGCAGGCGGGGATGGCTGTTACCGTTTGCATCTCCTGCGTGATGGTGCCAACACCCCGAGGCACGTCCCCACGGGGAAGGGGAGCAGGTGTCTCTCCGCCCTGACGCATTCAAGCTGATCTCATCTCCGTGCATGGCAGAAGTCTGTCCCTGAGGGTCTTCCCCCTGCTGGGGAGCCTGCGCTGAGAGATGACGCTTGGGACCCCGCAGCCCTCTCCTGCTGCGTCTCCACCGCCTGTCGGTACCCAAGTGAAGCTGAGCGGGGAGGCCAGGGAGGTAACGCCGTCCCAGCAGAGCCACAGGCGCTCAGCAGCTCCAGAGTAGGTATTGCAGGTGCTCCGACGGCACTGCAACTTAACCCCATTAGCACTGATCAACACTGCGTTTAATCCCAGTGGCAGCGCTGCCGGGGCTGCGTCTGTAGTGAGATGCGGATTGATTCGGTAGTCCAAAGAGAGTTACATCTGCACCGTAGGGCATCGCTTCAGATCAGACACCTAGACTCCGCTTCTGACTTGCTTTTCCCATGCAGGGCTGCTGCCAAGGGCCTCTCGCTCAGCTTGATGGAGCGTCTCATCGAGAGGTACGGGGAGAAGATTGTGAAGATGCTGACGGTGCAGTACCGAATGCACCGGGCCATCATGCAGTGGGCTTCCTCGGAGATGTACAGCGGCCGGCTCACTGCTCACCCATCAGTAGCCCAGCATCTGCTCAAGTGAGTGACTTGCTCTTCGCTGGTGTATGAGCAGAGATGTCTTTTTCATCCCTTTGCATGCAGGGCTTGTCCCCTCCCTGTGATGGAGTTTTCCGTCCCTGCAATAGCATTTCTGGTTTGTCCTTTATTTCATCGAGGAAACATTAACTGAGGGGAAGGCGATGTCCTTTTTCCTATGTAACATGAAGTCACTGAGAGTTATCTTCTGTTTCCTCCTTTGGTATGACAAGCAACAAAGTAAATCCCCTTGCAGCTGGTGCGAATATATGAAGTCCTGACCTGCAGTGGGCATACCCCAAGCGGTGTTCCTCTGTCTCAGGTTCCCACCGAGGGTGGGAGCAGACACCAGGCTTCTGGTGTGTTTCCACACGTCCAGGTGATTGCGGGGGCCAGCGTGTGTCCCATCTGTGGTCCCAACATCCCCATCAGGAAGATCAGAAAGCGAGATTCCCTTTCCAGCTTGGATAGTTTTACTGGCGGGACAGCACCCGTGGCAGGTCTGATGGCATCGGATCCATGCCTTGTCTACACTGGTTTCCCCTCTTTGGTAGTTTGAAGGAAGTGACTCGCGTTTCATTTCCCTTGCCCCTGGGACAGACAGTTGTTTGCCAGCACTCCCTGTGACTGTCAATAATTGGTGCTTTTTAAAATTGCAGTCAGTGGAGTTCTGGGAGGCGGATGGGAAAACATTAATTCTCTCTGTTGGACTTGGAGAAGCATGAAGTATCCCAGTGCTTGTCTGCATGCCGCTCTTGTATTTTTAGCAATGCTTTTTTTTTAAACACAAATATTTAGGACTCAGGAAAACTTATATTTCCCTAGAATCTCTCCATTTCATAGTAGATGCAGTTTTGGACAGAGATAGCTGGAGCAGCCATTTTATCATCCTTCTTCCAAAATCATCTTACTTGCAAACAGTGTGAATACCACCTGGATGGGAAGAGCAAGCTCTGCGTGCGAGACAGCCCCGCCGCCCTCATCTGCCTCCGCTGCAGCCAGCGTGGGGATTTCTGCTGTGTCAGCACGCTCTGTAGTGCGGCTTTGGGGCTATCGAGGCTCCAGTTCAACTTATATCAGTGAAGCTATGCTGACTTCTGTCTTTGTTTAAATACACATTTGTGCATACTTGGGTAATTTTATGGGTGAGTGTGGTGGGTTCTATAGGTAAGAGCGGGCAAGGCTGGGTTAGCAGTGCCAGGAGCAGCTCAGCTGAGCTGGATGGGACCCACTCAGCAATGCTTTAGCTCTACAGATGTAATTCCAGGTTGGTGCTGTACAAAACCCTCTTCTCAATTGTTCTCGTTCCTTGCCATGCTTTTTTTTCCATTTCAATTTGCAAATTCAAAATAGCAACTAGTAAAGAACCCCAGGCAAAATGGTTTGAAACCATGAAAATAAGAAAGCAATTGAAAAGTTGAAGTTAGGCGACTTGGTTATTCTGATGCACTGGTTTATTTTTAGAGCTGATGGAGTGAATGGGTTGGGTTTTTTTCCAGTCCACAGTGCAGTTTAGTCCCCTGCTCAGGGCCTTTCCTGCAGACACTGCTGTCTTAACTTGTCATCAAATCTGCCAGCCCGCAGCCCTGCTGACATAGCGCATGAATACAGCGATGCTCAGTTCAGGCACTGGACCACGTCAAGTTTCTGTGCTTCTGTAGAAGAGCGGGTAACGCGGGGGCTGGATACTGGCCCGTTTAGGTTGCTAGTACCAATTGCTCCATGATATTTGTGAGCATCTCACATCTTTTCATGCTGCAAGGGCTTTCTGTGGCCACTGTGAGTACACAAAGAATCGGGATTATCTACGTGAATAACTTGGCTTTTGCTCAGTCATTTGCGCAGACACGGGCAGCGGTAGGACAGTCAGCGGGGCAGGTATAAAGGAGGTCGGAAGCCTGTTGGGTTTGATTTTACAAAGAGAGGGAGATAACCCTGTCGTACCCTTCGCAGGGAGGACACGCTCTAACGGGGAACCGGAGGTGGCCCTGTTCCAGAGGAGATCATGGAAAGTAAAGTTGGTTGCTGGTCCCTGCGGTCCTTGGGAATGGGGAAGGTACCCTGTGGCTCCGTTTGAGTCCAGTGGCTGGGCCGAGGCAGGCAGTGCCCACGGCCGCGGAAGAGCTCTTCCTTTGGGCTGCGGTTTGCCATAGGGGCGGGGAAGGTAATCCTGAGCGCTTTTGCAGGGCTTTGGCTCCCTGTCATAGCTGCATTGATCCCTGTACCTTCCCAGGCATGCATTACAACAGCGATAGCTTCAGACAGGCGAAAAATGAGTTTCAGTCAAGAGAGGAGACTTTTGATGTCAGTGGAGTGAGTAATGTCCGGAGTCCACGGGAAGCGAGGGTAGGCGGTGGCATACGGATGCAGAGGAGCAGTGCCAGGAGTCCTGGGAGGGAGCGGCTGCAGCTGGGGGCTCGTCTTGAGCTGGAAACCGCCTTTGCCCTCGCTTCCTTGCCTGGCATTTGGAGGTAGTCCTCCTTTTTGATGGCTTGCTGGCTGCCTTGTTTAATTGCAGACTCTCTGGAGTCACAGCTCTCTGCGATGTGTACGTGATGTACAGTAACGTGTTGTTTGAGAGCTCTCCTGCCATCTCCAGGCTTTCTGTTCCTGCCCTGCATCGCCTGTCCTCTTCCTAGGCTGTGAATTCAGCTAGCGACTTCCTTGGGTATTAAAATAGGGTTTATTAATATTTTTTTGAATGCAGCAGCTTTAGATGTAGGAATGATGTGAAACCCCAATTCCTCTGTGGTTCCCCGGGCTGCGCTTTCTTCTGTTGCCCGACAGCGCTGCTGTCAAATCTCTGCTAATACTTCAGGCACTCCTTCTCCCTCTCAACACTGTAAAAACCAGAAAGCAGCTGCCACATCTCCCTAGGTCTGCATATCTTTCCAGTTTGAGACCGTCTAAGCGAGACACTTAACACCCCCCCAGCGTCCCCTTGTCGTGCAGTAACTGGGCTGTGTAGCACAGTTGGTGAGAAGGCTCTCAGCGCTGCTAGCTGGCCCTCCTGAGGCTCGCCGGGGGCCTCAGCTCTTCGTTTGCACTTTGGGAGAGCATTTCAGTGGCAATCCCATGGTGCAGAGCAATAATGGCTTTTCAGCTATGGCTTTCTGGCGTTGCCAAACTCCCCTGGGCCTCTCGGGACCTGCTGTGGCGTTGGCTGTGGGCGCTCTCCTGGCACGGACCCCGGGGAGCCTGGAGCTGACAGCCGAGGACCCCCCAGAGCCGAAGGGCGCCGCTTAGCCATCGCTCCGCAGGACGTGCTCTTCAGCAGCAGCACTGCAGATGCAAAGGGGACCAAAGCTCGGTGGAGCAGAAAGGTGGGAATCTCGGTTCTTGGCTTCTGTCATTCTTCGCCTCCTCCAGAGCCAGCCTTCCTGCGGTTTCACCCCACAGGACACCCCTGTCGGTCTGTAGCCCCGTCCCTCGGAAGCAATATCCAGCTATGCTTTCCCTCTGTCCTTGCAGTGTTGTTGGGAGGAGTAGGCAACAACACAACGGATCATCCCTTTGGCATAGTTTCGGCGTTGTTAACTGGCCCTTTCCCAAATTCCTTGTGCAGGGACCTGCCGGGCGTCACCTCCACAGAAGAGACTACAATTCCCTTATTGCTTATAGACACTGCCGGCTGTGGCCTGTTTGAGCTGGAGGTGGAAGATGAACAGTCTAAGGGGAATCCAGGTACTGTTGTTCGGAAAATGTTGTTGGCCGGAATCGATTGTCTGAGGTCGTCAGCCTCCCGTGGGCTTGGCCACTGCACCAGCTGAGCCACGGCACAGAGGTGTCCCCCTCCAGAGCAGGTAGCAGGGGGAAGGTGGGGTCCCCAGGGAGCCTTGCTTGTTCGGGAGATCATTTCTTCCATAAATCCTCAAGCTCAAAGGGCTCTGAGCGAGAGCGGAGTGGCCACGGGGCCACGGTGATGGTGTGCAGTTTGTGGGTGGCCACGCTGCTGCCCTGTTCCCTTGCAGAGCCATTGCGCTGTGCTGCGGACTGGGACGGGGGGAGGATTCCTGCGACGGATGCTTTACGCAAGTTCTACACAAGGGCAGACAGTCAGGCGGAGCACAAGCCTGTTTTGGAGAGGCTGTCGACGGGGCTCTGAACTGCCTCCCAGTCCTCTGCTCCTGTCACGAAGTCCTGTGTGGCTCTTCCCCGTGAACTTTCATAAGACATTGAGTTTCCTGCTGGTTTTCTGACTTAGAGAATAGGTTTCGTTACAGAGACTGAGTGTAAAGTCGGGTGCCGTAGCCATTGTAATAACGCAGGAGAACTGTGAAACCGGTGATGCTGCCCCCTTTGTGTCCTCGCTTCCGCAGCAGGGCAGGACTGTGCTGTGCCGTTCAGGGCTGCTGCTCATGCTCCTCTCGACAGTCTGGCATCTCCGCGCCTGCTAGCTGCCCCTCACAGAGGGCCTGTGCCAGGCCGTGCTGCATACGGGCCGTCCAAAACCTGGTGCTTCGTCGGACAATCCACATATCCCAACCCTGTTACGGAGATAGCTCTCCTAAAAGCATTAGGGAGAGCTTTTAGCCCAGAAAGCTGTCGGCAAACGCATTGCTGGGAGGTCACAGTGAGCCTTGGCTTTGGGGAGGGTGAGTCTCTTCTTTCGGGACAACATCTTCCCCCAGACGGTAAATTCACTGCCCAGATGGGCTCTGCGGTGCCCGGAGGGGACTGCTGCCCGTGTGCGGTGCCTGTGCCCTGCCACCTCGCCCGCGGCCACCCCTGCCTGCCTGGCTGCTGCCTGCGCCTTGCCCGATGGCCGAGCCACAGGCTTTTCTCACCATCCGCTCTCACGTGGCCAAAGAGCTTATTTGGCAACGTGGCTGCCCGCTCCAGGGGTTAATTTGTTTCCCTCTCCACTCACCAGTGCAGATCTCATGCCAGCAACAGCTCTCCGAGGCTTCAAGTCTGTCTCTGGCAAGGCAGGGAAAATGGACTGTAAAATACAAGGACATTTTTTAGTAGTTTAAATATCTTTTGCCTTCTTTAAGAGCCTCTTGTTTTCCATGCACCAGTCCCCGTGGCCCTTCTGAACAGAGAAGGGCTCTTGTCCCCAAACGGAGAGCCAAAAAGACTTGTCTAAGATAACTCAGGGATTTTGAGCAGGGGATGAAATTCGGGAGACAGCCTTTCGGAGCAGCATCCTGCGGATTCTGGATTTTTATCCCTATGTTTTGCTGCGAAATGGAGGGTAAAGTCAGTCCAGCCAATAAACCAGTGAAATAGTTCACATTTGTATTTAACTTGTGCTCATCGGATCTCTCGGAACCAGGCAGCATCCTGACTAGCCAGGCTGCCGGCAGTCTCGGGAAGGTCTGAGCACACGGATCTGAGCGTGAAGCTTATTTATTGGGTCGTGGGGATTTAGAAATGCGGGGACTTGAAAAAGCAGAGTAAAAAGGAAGGGTGGAGTTTTCTCAGTTGCAGCGTAGAGAATTGATTTTTTAGTGAGGTTCAGGGTCTCACTTCAGAGAGAGAATAATCTATTGCCTGGATTATCATAGATCTCTGGGATTAATACAGGAAGGCCAGAGAAAGCCAAGCGCTGTTCAGAAAGTGCTTCCTAAGCGTAAGCGAGGCGGTGACTGGGAACGGCAAGCAGCACATCTGTGCGGCCCTGGGAACGGGGCTGTGTAGCACATCACCCTCTTGCCAGGCAAGCCAGGTTGGGGTCGTTAGCCGCAGGCGGTGCCGGACTGCAGGTGGACTTGCCTTAGCCTGTCCTTGCTCTTCAACGGGGAGGAGGGCAAGTTTCCCCAAGCCGCAGCATGTCCAAGCTGTTGGCTTCGTTCTGCCTGCCCGCCTGTTCCCATCGCCGCCCTGTCTGCTTTCTGCCCTAGGCGAGGTGCAGCTGGCCGGTTTGCACATCCAAGCCCTGGTGGAAGCTGGTGTGAAGGCACAAGACATCGCTGTCGTAGCGCCCTACAACCTCCAGGTGAGATAACCCGCTCCTGGCGTCCCCTCTCTCTTTCCGCGTGCACGCAGAGCAAACGCACAGAGGTGGATTCAAGCCTCGACATCTCCAGGAGTGATACCAGAACACCCTCCAAGAGATGAAGGTGGAAGTCAGCAGAGCCAAATTGTATAATCAGCGTTTGTGGCCAACTTCTCCACATCTAAGCAGCTTGAGGCCACGGAGGGAAGAGGTGTTCGTAGGGTATTTTCCACTCCCAGCCTCAGGAGCCGGTGCTTGAGCTTCAGGAGATGAGTGCTCATCCTTGTGGGCTAGAGAAGAAGGGACTTCACCAAAACAGTGCCATCCATTTTAATCCTTTTCACCTTGCACTTTTCTTTTAAAAATACCTATCACTTGTTTTTCAGGTGGACATGCTAAGAGAGCACCTTTGCCACAGGTACCCGGAGCTGGAAATCAAATCAGTTGATGGTTTCCAAGGAAGAGAGAAAGAGGCAGTGATCCTGTCGTTCGTGAGATCCAACAGGAAAGGTAAGAGTTCGCTGCTGGAGAGTTACTCCGTGGGGAATGAGAAACGGGAACTGTGTGATTGCTCAAATGTCGCTCATCACATTGCCAAGTGCTGAGGTTTAATTGCAGTTCTGATGGTCTCTAGCACTTTGCTCCGAATGAATTTACTGGCAAGAACCTTCCTTTTCAGCCTTTTCTTTTTTTTTTTTTTTAATGAAGGAATATATTTGCTGTCACAATTGCAGAGAAAGGCTCCCGTGCTAGGCAGCAGGTAAAAAGGAAGCCAGGACTGCTTAGTTGAAAGGTTTCCTGGCATCGAGGCCTCAGAACTTATTCAAGCCAGGGTCCTACGAATGGCACATGTCAGGTTAGCACCACACTTACTGGAGTGCCGAGCACTTCCCACAGAAGGTGAAATTTGGGGGGGCTTATTTCTGGGTCTGGAGCCTATTTTGGGTCACTTCCCCAAAGAAAGCAAGCAGGAGCTGGCGTTACAAGTCATGCACAGAAAATGCTTCTTTTGGGAGCAAAATCTAGAGCGGAAAATCGAGTTCTTTCCTATCAGCAGCTGCAGAGAAAGTTAATAGCTGGAAAAAAGCCGCTGCCGTGGAGCTGCGAGGCTCCTTCAGCGGAGCCATCGGCCCGTGCTGACGGGTTTTGTGGCGGCCAGCTCGAGCGGAGGGCACGAGCGGGACCGCCCCGTGAACCACCTCTCTCCGTGCATGGATCACTGCCCTTTTCAAACCCGCAGTGAGACACATCCCTTCCTGCACTACCTTTGCTGCTGATGCTGCTGAAGATGAGACACTGTGTGTGTGCCGGGAGTGCTGATATCTAAAAGGAAAAAAAATAGGGAAAGGATGCATGGAAGGAGGAGGCTTGCTTTTTTTTTTTTATTATTTTTAAGAAAGGCTAGAGCAAGAAAAGCAGTGTTGGGGGGAGAACGGAGGTGGGGGACCAGACTAAGAATAGTCCTTATTCAAGAGTGACTCACCTCGCCTTTGCTCAGTGGGAGCTGGTGTCCTCCGGGAAGGCGTGCGTCCCCCAGCCCCCTTCCCGTGCACAGCGAGCAGCCAAAGCTCAGCTGCGGTGCAGGAATCACTCGCATCCCTGGGGGCACCAGGCAGCTTCTCCGGGTGTCTGGGCACGGCTCTGCTCTGCACGGGGCACAAGAGATGTTGTTAGCGCCCTCTGAGACCCTTGAGAGAAATCCGTACCCTTTCTGCAGCTGCATTTCTCAGCTCAGAAGCGGCCAGGGACCTTGACCAGCAGTCCACGCAGCCGTTCCCCCTCTAGCAGGAAACCCTCTGGCCGGATCAGAGGAGTTGGACTTGCCCCTGCGGTCAGGCGAAACCACATCAGAGAAACTGGAAATCGTTCTCTAAGCTGCGGAGCACAGAGAGGGGATCGCCCACAGCCTGTTCCTCAAAGGCAGCTCAGTCTAGGCTGCTCAGCCACGGCAAGGCACGGCAGAAACAGAGCCAGGCTGGTCACCGCACCGGCAGAGACATTAATTTCTTCCCGACTGGCCTCCTCTTTATCCCCAGGAGCTGGAAACTCAAAAGCCGCCCACACTACCCTTCTTGCTAGCTGATCCTCACTGAGTCATCTTGGCATTTGCTAGCTCTTACTGCTTTTCTTTGAGAAAATAGCCAGAGAGCAGAAGCAAGCCTTGCAGAGGTGCCTAAATGGCTCTTACTTTAAACCCGTCGAGAGTCTGGGGGCAGGTGGGGGGGTGTTGTACAGGACAGGGTGTGTTTCTTTACCTGCAGTTCCTCTTCTGTCACAGGGTGAACCTCTTCCACGTTGCTCCATATTGCATTTGCTCCCAGGTCCCAGCCTGATCTTGTGGCATGGGCCACCCAGGAAAATATTTCTCCTCTCCACGTGCCATCCATCCTCCTCCCGAGCCCGGGAGCTAAGCGGGGAGCCCTGGCTCTGGCTTGCAGGCGGTGAAATGGAGCCAGAAAGATGAAGGTGACAGCGTGAGTCAGGGACCAGAGTCCAGTAAACGCTGACTCCCACCCTTCGGCTAAGCAACCCTTCAGTGGTTTGGGACAAATCTAGACCTGGAGCCAACGCTGCGCCCGCCGCCAGTCCTGAGCCCCTTGGTTTCTTTCTCGCAGGTG